ACACTTATCTAAACCGTTTCAACAATACAACTTCCTAACAAACTAATGAAGTTATAAAAAAAACCGCAGCTGCCAAGAGGCGCAAGCTGTTGAATTTGAAAATATAATTAAGACGAGCTTTCATGCTTTATTCACGTAAAAGCTCACCTGTTTACTTAGCTAAGCGACTGCGTCGTGCGCTAACACTACATTAAATAAATATAAAGGAAAAAGGGTGAGTTTACACTACAAAGTTACACCTGTTCCGACGCTTTTAATTTTATACTGAAAAATTTATTCATAACATCAAAATCGTAGATAACAAGGAATAGCTAAAAGCCGGTGATGTACAAAGACGACAGTGACAGGCAAATCATCAGAACAATCACATGAAAATTGTTGTACAATGTTGGTATTTGGTATGTGGTGCACAACCTTTACATTTCCGATTTCCTTTTTTTATTTATTTTTTCACTTGGTACTCTTCAATGACAAATGTTCGGGGGCTTCTTGTCGTATTATTCAAATAAAAAAATGCATTTTGTTATCTTAAATTGAACATATCTTGCGTAGAAGTCCCCGCTAAGCCGATCTTCTCATTCTCCAAGACGTAAATAGGATCAAAGATAAAATGCATTTTATCTAAATATCGTTAAGTGATATAGTTTAAGTCTGTCAGTGTATATAAAAGGCGTATTTAGCGCATTGGATGTTATATAATTACAACCATAAAACCTCATAGAAGGCAACTTGAGGTATATTTGTACGTAAGATAACGACACTCCTAAATCGATTACATATTTCAATGTATTGATATTCCACAAGTACAATCTATTTTAGAGTAATATTGCACTATCGAACTACTGCTACAAAAAGATAACCATCTCTTTCATTCTCGTTGAAAAAAACTGAGATAACAGTACGTGTTATACTGATGTAAGCAGTGGAAACTGTCGGTTAGATTATAAAGTATCGATGCATCGAAGGTCATAATCTAACTCACGATCGCGTAACATTTGAAGCCGGTATAGAATATGAGATAAAAATAACTCAATGACGCGACACCAACGGATTGATTTATTGACTTTTATGTATGTACTAGATATCAAACACAACATAATAGACCCTAATGAACAATACGTTTAATAAACTAAACTAAAACTGGTGTAAACTTTAATTATTCCCTTAATTCGACTGAGTTTTTTGTACAAAAAAAAACACTAGACACTATTAAATTAAGAATTTTAGACAGGCTTAATACCTGTTATTGCGTAAAAATATAACAATTAATTTCGTCAATGGTTAATGAAGATATTAAAAATGAAATTACCGTATACATATGCAACAGAGCCGAGTACTAGATAATAAATTACCACACATGTGTGGATGACATTAATTTCAAATACGTTTAATTTTACATCGATGTCGTTGAACCAGATGAACGAGGTTAAATTACCCACAACGGCTTTATAAGGCTTAAATTCTGCATTTAGGAATCCAACTATAGATATATACTATGTATAATTTTAATATGAATTATATTTTTTTAATGCACTAAGTATCGTTTGAAGGTCAATAAGAGCATCCCTTAGTGACCAACCGTAACCAGACCAGACCGTGGTGTTGGTGACAAACTTAAAGGCGATTTAATTACTCTAAATATTTCTGATCGAGTCAGTGTTAGAAAACGGTTTATGCTACAATACAGTAATTTAAAATTCTCGAGTACAATTTAATTCTTCAACACTTCTGTGTATTTCAAATAAATTGTAGCTACAAAACAATATTTAAGATAAGTAAACAGGTCAATAGATATTTAGCCGGCCAAGTTCACGTCAAGCCGCATTTTGTACGAAAGCCAAATCCAATCGCCGCAAATTTCTGCACTGCGACTCCGACTTTAAATTAATTACATTTAATTATCTTTTGAACTGTACTTTATTAATGTCTGCTTATGAGAAAAAGATGAAATTTTCTTTTTAAATGTATTGGTAACTAGTATTTACTCGCGACTTTTTCTACATAAAATTTAAAAAAAAAAGTATTAATATTTTAAAAAATAAAAATAGCTTGTGTCAGTCAGTAATAATGTACCTTCCTAATGGTGTAAGAATTTTATTTAAACTGTTTATTACGTATTTTACCCATATCAGTAATTTTTTAACTATTTCAACATTATTTTTCGGATCCCAAAATAACGGTTTGATACTTTTACTACCGAACAATCTTCGGTTTCATCATCACCAGCTCGCTATACATCCCCACTGACAGGCTCGAAGCTTGCACACGGTATTCGGTTTAGTGAGACTTTAGGGTCAAGTAGCCAGGTCATTCAAATATTTCCCTTATTTATAGCAATGCTTCGCTACTAAATTCGGCTAATCACAACTGCACCATGCATTAAAACCGCACCCTACTGCCGCGCCTTTGACTCAGGGGAAAGATAGGACCCCTCTTAAAAGGACCAAAATACGTTTTTATTTCACTATGCTAGTTGATAACTGTGACCTTTTAGTCTGCATTATTTAGTGAAACTTTGTGTGGGCGTTTACGTGGGCTTTACTTAAAATGCACGTATCGGATAGTAGAAATTAATATTAACCTTTTCAACAACTATTAGTTTATATTTCTGGCTTCTCAATTTAGATAAAGGTCACTGGATATTTACTACGTACTTTGTACTCAGTACTAAAGGTTAGCAAGGTATGGGAATGTTATGAGGAGGGATAGATCGCATGTAACAAGAAGAACGTTAGTTTTGTGAGTGGTACAGCGGTAGAGGTAGATCTAGAAAGAGATGGATGGATTGCGTGAAAGGCGATATGATCGAGAAGGGAGTGATGACTGAGATGACGGATGATAGTTATTTGGAGGACGAAAACGCAGGGCAACGACCCTGCAGGAGTAGGATAGGGGAAATGATGGCTATATACTTAGTGCATATAATAGGACAGACTCGCGCTTTATGCGTAATAAGGAATCAGATCCAAGGTCCGACAGAGCCAATGTCCTCTTATCGCTATACATTCCGCGATTTATGTAAATAGGAAGCGATCGAGGTTAGCATAATTACTTTGATTTTTTATTAACTTTAGCCGCGATCTCTTGTCTGGAGTTGCGAAGTATTTCCTTGTCTCTTACTTGTGCAAGGAAATAAATTGTTACAAGGGCCACTTTATTTATATGTCAATAATATCAATTGTAAGTGAACTTCAATTTTACATTCAATCATTTAATAATGTTGGCTGTTAAATGTTAGACTATTAAATGTGGGCGTAAGGTTTACTCAATAATCCGGAGTTTCCTTCCCTTTTTTTATTTGCGTTTTATTTAATTTGTAGACTAAATAAAATGTTGCTATATAAATAAATTCCTTTATAACAAACTATTGAGTTTATCAATTTTTTATTTCTATCTCCTAACTTTTAAATTCTATATCATGTTATTACACCATTTTTTGCTATACGGTGCTTAGTCATTGATGTAATAAAAAAAGTCCGATACTGACCCGAAAATGTGGCGCCGTGATTCAGAAAAATCTCGCCAAATTCGCGGAATGCGGACAAAGAGCTAAATGGCAGTTTTATTTAACAAAAGTACAGATAATACTTTGTTTTTATGGATATGAGACAAAAAATCTTAATTTTTGACAATTATTAATACCTTGTAATTCACTAATTATTAGTAACCTCATCTATTTCTATATTTTGATTAATATCTGACATTTATTTTTCACCGTGGTAGAGCAACCACTGTCTTATGGAATGAGCCAGCTTATATGGTAAAATATCATGGCTTCAAAATACAAATGTCAAGTAGTTTTTCCCCTTTCCAATATAAAAAGGATTGGAATGGAGTTATGAGTTTGTTGGGGTCAAAGATAGCATAAAGACATATAATATATTCTTTTCTGTGCATCATCTACCCTAGTCTCTATATAGAGTCTGCACAGCATTTGCTGCTTTTGCATACATCTCTATCAGCTGTGATATCTGAATTCACTCTTTTCTTAAACATTACCTCTCGACAACCAATACTTTCTTTAGTTTTCCTATACCTTTATAGCCATTCATATTAAATTTTAATACTGTCTTGTTCATAATCATCTCTTGATATGTCCATACCACTTTAGCTTCTCTGCATTATCTCTTCATTAATAAAAGATATGCAGTATATCTGCATAGATAATAAACATAATAGACCAGACATATGGTCTCCAGAGTATGTGTGAAATGTTTGCGTTTGCTCAAGGAAGAAATCTCTATTGTTTTCAACTCACCATGATGCAGGTGTATCAGAAAAATCATAGTCTATTGTTTTTCATGGTCTATTAATAGCCAGACTAATCAAAATAAATGTATCACATAATTAAAAGAATTTGTTTTATATTATACTCTATTCATCACCACTTTAATTTCAATAATCACTTACATACTTCTAGCAAAGTTATAATTCATACAAAAAAGTGTATTTTTATATTATCAATATTATGTGAAATTTCATTATTACAATAGCTTGTCTTACGTAACCATTAGAAGTAGTTTAATAACTATACAAAGTAGGAAATGAATCTATTTTTTGATTTTACCAAAAAAACTACTATGTTTACTAGTTTAATTAGCAACTGACAAGTATTCTTTAGCCATATATACAAGCTTTAACTGGTTCTCATAGTGTTATTTATTTAAAAAAAAGGACAAGTATATGATGAGTTTTACTACACATTACAATGATTGAAACTTAATTTCTCTGTCAGGCTTTCTACAAATTTTTGAAAATGGTTAAAAATTAAAATGCGAACCTAAATGACAGAAATCAATATTTTTATAGTAAACAAACAAAATATATCGGTCAAAATACACGCAAACGGCATCGGTGCATCTGCTGACATGAGTCATGCAATCGTGAGCCCTTATCGTATATTATATTAATGTATTCATAATTTAGACTAAAAATTAACTTATCACTAAGTTACATTAATTAAAATTAACCAATTTTGACATGAAATTTTAAATACTTACGGTTTTTTCTGAAGTTCGAGCAAGTGTTTGGGGTATTTGCTTGAATGTCAGTCTGTTCACATAAAAAACACGTAAAGCGAAAAGAACTAAAAAAGGAGTCACTTCACATCACATCCACTAATAGAGCCTTTCACGTCCATTTTGTTTAAAATACATTACTGAATATTTACATCCATAATCACATGTTAAGAAATAAAAGTAAATCCAACTTTTTCTTTTTTCACGAAGTGTTTCGAAAAACACGAAAGTGTTCATTATTTACAAACCAAAATTTCTATAAAGCCGCTACCATTACTCATAGCTAGTATAGATCCTAAAATGAACGATAACCGACCCAGAGACTGGAGAAAATGGTAAGACTGCGTGAAAACAGATATGCATTCAATCAACACAAAACAGCCAGACAGCGAAATAATCGAGCAGGGGGGCCAGGGGGCGAAAAAGCTTACACCCACAGTGTTGCTATAAAAAGACACAAGTGTGGAATAGATCCCGTAAGTTGCCATTTATTGAAACTTGAAATAACAAAAAAGCCCTATGCTTGGAACTTTTTTAACATTTTTTTCAGTACATGTAGCACTTTGTGTAAAAATTTTCGAAAGACAGAAAGTAATTAAAAAAAAAGGATTAACATGTCATTCAATATTGTGTCAAGCAACACCCTTAAACCAAGCAACCAATGAAAATGGCTTGATAAAACATTTGCGTTTGATTGACAGTTGACACTTCACAGACAAATTGACATGACAGATGACAAGCAAAACAATCAATGAAATGACTTATTAAACTTCGTTTATCGTTTCTTGTATAATACTAATTAAAACTTAAACCGAAAATAGTATAATCCACTTGTAATGCTGTGGTAATAGCCAATTACACCATTAACTATAATACATTGTAAATAGGTAACTATTTTATTGTAATATATAAAATGCAGGTAAGCTATGAACTGTAATTGCTACATGCTAAATAGAAATGAACGATTCTTGTTACATGATAATACACAATCGTTCCTTTTCACTATTTTAAACTATAAATAACTATAAACTCTTTGTTTGATAAAGTATTAAACAGTTATCACTGTATACAAGACAATGTTTACTATAAGTGATAAGATTAAAGGAAATATACAGAGAATTACATCAACCGATAATTTAATAAATTTTTACATAAGATTTAGTTAAAAATTTTAACCAAGTGTAAGTAATATTTCAGACTTCTACATCAATATCTAGGTTGTTAAGCATAAAGTTTGTACGACAACTTAGCTCCAAGATGAGTTCTAAACGAGTAGCGGTGTGCCAGATGACCTCTGTCGCGGACAAGGCCGCTAACTTACAAGTTGTCAGCAAACTTATCAGTGATGCAAGTAAAGAAAATGTTCAGGTATTTAATATAATCATACTTTTAGAATAGAACATGTTCATTGTTACAATAAAGATGATTTTTTTTAATTATGACAAATATAAAAGTGGTAAACTAAAGTGAGCATGACCAAAGCCATTGCTGTTTATCTACTGGCCTCTGCATTCAATATAGTTTTCTTATATTTAATATAATTGTATTTTCTTATTCTAGATGTTATTCTTTCCTGAAGCATGTGACTATTTATGTGATAGCAAAAAGCAGACATTAGATTTCTCAGAGACATTACTAAATGGGAATACAGTAAAGAGTTATAAAGAACTAGCTGCAAAACATAATGTATGGCTATCTATGGGTGGAGTTCATGAACGGGTGAGAATTGTATAGTTAGGGTAATTTTCTTCTTCCGTCTTCACCATTAACCAGTTATTTGGGGTTGGCCTTCCTCATCCTAAGTCTCCAGACAGCACAAATCTTAGGCTTGATCACCAAGTTTTATTCCCCTCATATCCTTTTGGACTGTCATCTGCCAAGTGGTAGGTGGTCTTCTACAAGTTCGTCCATCCATCCACATCCATCTATCTAAACTTTCGCATTTGTAATATTAATAAGATTATCATCAGTTATGATATTAATATGATATTGCTCTATTATGGTTTTACACAAGTTAACCTTCCCAAAATTCCATCTTAGTTTTGGTTTATATTTAATAATACATCTAGATACATTATTTTATTTTTAAGGATGAACGAAATCCCACAAAAATGTTTAATACACATATAATTATAGACAACAAGGGTGAGATAGTGCAGACATACAGAAAGTTACATCTCTTTGATGTAGAGATACCAGAGAAGAATGTGCGGTTGAAAGAAAGTGATTTTACAAGCCCTGGCAGCCATGTTGTCACACCAGTTGACTCGCCTGTCGGACGTATCGGTAATGGCAACATTTTTCAATACTTAGAAATATTTCCACTGTGTTGCTATATAAACATTCCACAAGTAGATTGGCTGTAATCAAAAAAAAATAAGAATTTTAGTCCATATACCATAACTTCTATCTTTCGGCCACGTCTTCACTTAACTTAGGTGGAATCGTGGCAAGCGCTGGTTTAATTCATTTAAAAAAAAAAAAAAGAATAGTTAACTCAAAAAGTTAAAGCAACATTTTGCATTCTCATACTTAAAGTTTGCTGTTCTAAATTTTTTAATACTATCATAAACATGAGTGTAATATGTTTTATTCCTTATTTCCGTAGGTTTGGAAATCTGCTATGACATGCGTTTCCCTGAACTCAGTACAACACTTGGGTCTATGCGCGCCGACATTCTGACTTTCCCATCTGCATTTACTTACGTTACTGGCAAAGCACACTGGCATTTGTTGCTCAGGTATAACTAAGCATTTATTTATAATTACTTTTCGCCCGCGACACCGTCTGGCTGTAATTAAATAAAAAACAAAAAAGAGTAGCCTATGTCTTCTTCCAGCCTATCCTCTACATCTATGCCAAATAACATCAAGATCCTTTCAGCCATTTAATTCCAACAAACATCCATCCATCTAAACTATCGCATTTATAAAGTCAGTAACAAGCTAAATTAGTAAGATTGAAATGTATTGACAAATTCCAAAACAACAATGTAGATAAAATCTTGCAGGAAATGTCTATGGGTAATAATCTTTTTTTTATTTCAGGGCACGAGCAATAGAGAACCAATGCTATGTGATAGCGGCCGCACAAACCGGCCAGCACAACACCAAGCGACGCTCATACGGTCATGCGCTCTGCGTTGACCCTTGGGGTGAAGTCCTAGCTGATTGTGAAGAGGAGGGACCATGTTATAAAGTCGCTGAGATTAAGTCTGAAAGACTGGCCGATGTTAGACGGAATATGCCTGTGTTTCAACATAGGAGGTAAAAATTTAACACTTGCAATGCCACCATCATGTTGTTAATCGTCTGATAACAATCCAATCTGTAAAATATGTGATAGAAATATCGGATTTGTTCCCTTATCTGACAATTACGTCATTTTTAAGCTATCTGAGAGTCTATCAGCGAGTGGTGGGACAGGCCCTTAGTCAACCTTTTTAATGGTTTAAGTGTGTTTTCTAAGATTTTTCATATTTACAGATCAGATGTTTATTCATTATACACGCTTAGTTTACGAAATAAATTACTAGCGGAGCATTCCCTTCCTACATTAACACCAACAACTGCCAATCAAACAGAAAGCGCAGAAAATAGTGAGCCAATGTATGTCTTTGGACAAGCTAAAGTTCCGGAATCATGTGTCTTCTATAAAACTAACTGGACATATGCATTTGTAAATTTAAGGTAACATACTGAACTATGAACACATTCAATGCCATCATTTTTCTGAGTTCACTTTAATGATTATCATAAATGAATATTGAAATTTTTTATCTATGTTGAAGTTTTGTTTTTGTAGATGTGTTATACCAGGTCATGTGCTTATCGCTCCTATACGATTAGCAGAAAGAAATAGAGACCTGAATGAGGAGGAGGCTGCAGATTTCTTCAAAACTATCCGATTAGTGCAAAAGGTCAGTTAGATATTTATTATTACATAAATCATTGCCACATTAGTTGACAAATTTTTACAAAAGCTTTTTATTGTTTTTATATCATTGTTTCAGTTAATGGAAAAAGTACACAATGTTAATTCAAGTACAGTAACTATTCAGGATGGGCCTGAGGCCGGTCAGACAATAAAGGTAATTTTGTTATAAAATATTTGGCCTTTGTTGTTCAGGTGGCATTCAAAGGGTTAACGTCACAATGGTAGCATATTAATTACAGTTGTCAATTTTGTTACAGCATGTCCATTGTCACATATTACCGAGGAAGAAAGGAGACTTCATTGATAACGACCTTATTTATTTAGAGCTGGCTAAACATGATAAGTAAGTTTACATTATCTTATTGCATGAAGTTTTCGCGCTAAGAAATATGACAAACCAACTGTTGCCCGCGACTTCGTCTGCGTGGTTAGACAAACTGACGAACTATTTAAATAACAAAAAACTATGTGTCCCTTGGAACTCAGACACGTTTTTCGGGGATGAACCATATCCTTTAAAACATGTCAGTTAAGGCTACAAATTCTAACAAACGTCCATCCATCCATCGAAATAATGTTTTTTTAACTTTTATAATATTAGTATAGTATACTTCCTTTCTTGAACTTAATTTGATAATATCATGAAATGTTTTCCTATTGGTTTAGTAATCTGTGATACTTTTTTCGACAGAGTATCACCGACACAGCCAAGAAAACCTGCAAGAAGCTTACAAGAGATGAGAGAAGAAGCCGCCATGTTGCGCAAAGAACTTGACATTATGACACAGGAATCCGAAAAACAGAAGTGACAAATCAAAATGTGATGAAAAACTGTTATAGTTCTTTTAACAAAACAATTATGATATAATAATGTAAATAAAAGAGTTAATCGTTGTAATTATTTTTTTTTTAAACTCTTGGTGACAGATCACAGGTAAATGAAAATCCTAAGCGATACGAAATATGAAACCACCTCCCATACAAAAAAGACAGGTCCTTGCACACTTCTAATCCTCACCTATACAAGTTTCTTATACTTAAAATATTTGATTTTGTAGTTGTATAATTCACATAAGAACGGGTTAGAACCATACTATACGTGTTGTTTCTGTATCTTGACGGATTCACGTGTAATGAATATAGCAGCAGTTTTGTCTTATTCTCTTTGTGTAACGTATTTTCTTAAATCTACATCTCCGGTTTTGTTGGTTTTTGACCGACTTCCCAAAAGAAGGAGGTATTCAATTCGTCGGTATATATTTTTTTTTTTTATGTGTGTTACGGCATAACTCCGCCGCTAGTGGACCGATTTGGATAATTCTTTTTTTATCCGAAAGGTAATGC